TTTTTCATCATTCCCTGATCCTTTGATTTCCTCCTTATCACAGTTCTCTGTCACTTCTTGCCCTTCCCCTTTTTCATTAATTTCTTGCTCCTTTGCTTTTTCCACCTCCTCCTCCTCCTCTTTTTCTTCCTCCTCAGGAAATACTCCATCTTGTTCATCCCCTTCCAGCCCTCCCTCTTTTTTTCCCTCTATATCCCTTGTCCTTCTGAAGTCAACAAAAATTGGAAAAGGCATGCAAAAAGAAAAAAGAAAAGAATAAATTAAAGTTAAGGTCATGGAGAAAGGCATGCATGAACTCACAAGAAAGGAAATGCAAAGGAAATTAAATAAAAACTACAAGATGGAAGCAGTCATAAGCTAAATCATGCTGGGTAAGACTCCATCCTACGGTAGAGAACGTTGGGACATTTTCTTAGGACAGTCTCTAAGTCCCTTTTTGAATAAAAGTTGCACGGCAATAATGACATTTCAAAACACATACATAACTACAACAAACTATGTGGTCCCTAACAATGCTCGTATAAGCAGATGTTTAAACAACATTTTCAAATGCACCATTTCCTGAGAATTAATATAGGCCAACATTGAATTTTCCTGAGAGATACAGGTGAGCTACACCTTCAAAAATAAATGATCTTTCATTCCTTCTACAATCAAAGCTCCTCTGAACGTGCACAGGGCGCAGTCAAAGGAGATGCTGTGTTCTGCTCACAGATACACTAAGTACATCTTGTTGAAGGGTAGTTGAATGGCTGTACACCTACAGTTAAATTGGACTAGTGTAAGCATGAAAAAAATTGAATGGGTCTGTGTGAGTATTAAATAAGACATCTATAAAAGATCGGCAGCTCTAGTTTAAAAGGAAATTAAGATGCTTCTGACATTGCTGGCACAAATTTTCAAGTTAAACTGTCTTTTCAGCCATGTTAAATATTTTACAAAATGGTTTTCAGAAAGTGCAAATCTAAGTGTGTTTAATGCTTGCTGACAGCATATGTTATTTTAGTGTGTGTTAGCATAACCCAACATGACAAAACTTGGCTAAAAACAAATGCCATGAAGACAACAAAAAGCATTAGATGCAGAAGACATTTAAACCATTTTCCCTGCAAATTTCAACCTAGGCAAAATACTAATTTGAAATATAATAATGTTTAGTTATGTAAGTTACACGGCTATGGCTGGCATTACAGCTCCTCGTGCTCACCTTATCTTCTTGTTTCCTCTTGGCCGCTCTGACTGGACGGACATGTAGCTTGTGCTGCTGAAACGCGAAGCACTGCTTGTCCGTGACACAGCTGAGACATCACTGACATCGCTGTCTGAAGACTTGTTGGAAACATTGTCTGAGCCTCGCTGAGGATCCCGTCCTGACCGGTACTGTAAGAGGAAAGGGATAAAGATACAGATGTTGTCAGTCACATTACCACAAGCCAGCTATGGAGCTGGTCCCTGATGCTATCGAAACTGCCTCTGCCAATAGACTGTCTGAATATTTATAACTAAGTTTTTAACTGATACAGAATACAAGTTTATGTCTTGGTTTCTATTAATTTTACTCCGCTTTGCAATCCCATTCAAGTTATTAGCTCCTCAGCTTCATCCATAGAGTGACTCCTACAAAACTTCCAATTTTTCCAAAGGTTTCACAACCCTTAGCAAAGACGTCTAAACTGTCATAGAATATTCTTACCACAACTGTTTCGCCAGTGCACAAAGCAAAGCAGAGAGACTTTGTGACTCGCTCATGATTACTGAGCTCATGAAAGATTGAATAGAAGACAGAATGCACTTCATGGTATCTATAAAATATATGTCTCTTGTGGCCTAGCCTATTTACAAGAGCTTCTAGTTGACAAATGTTAACAATTTTTTTTTTCTAAAGTAAATAGAGAGATGAGATTATCAAACCAAAAGACAAAGTAATGCTGAAGCTGTGCAAACAAATCCAGCGTTTTGCTGAAGTGCTGGGCTGGGAAGTCTGAAAGCATGGGACAGGACTAGAAATAATTTGTACTGACAATGTACAAATGTCTCAGAAACTAAAAAATTGCGATAGTATTAGAGCTTGTTGACCGTGTATTCCAAACACGGAACTGGCAGGTGACTAGCGACCAGCAGTAAGCCCATATAACATAAAGCAGTGTTGTGAAGAGGTATTCAAGTTAGATCTGAACAAAATATTGCAGCTATTTGTTCTTGTTAAACAAGTCAGCTCTAAATTAATGTGAAGTCTGTGCCACCCTGCATTGCACTATGTGCAGATATAATAAATAGCAGAAAGACATTTTTCCCTCTCCTCTTCCTATACAGACATTTCTGTGTATACAGAAATCTGATGGGCTGCTATTGATAATCTTTTCAGAAAAGCAGTGTTGCAAGATGAACTGTCAATGATTGCCAGGTAATTGTTTGGCTGACATGGAAAGAAGACAGTGTGGAAAGAAGTGAAGAGTAGCACAGACAGGACTGAAAGAAAACAATGGGAGAAAATAACCTGCATAACACATCAGTGGCTTGTTGAACTCTTGGGGGTAGGAACATTGGACTCAGCCACCTGGAGAAAATAATTCATAATGTAAAGTGGCAGACCTGTGTAGTCCTGCAGAAGGGTGTCTAGGTTCGGCTATCAAATTTGTCCCTTTTTTATAGTTTTAGAATAACTATCTTTCATGAAGTACACAGATCATTTGCTTCTGTTCTCTTGCAGGAAAAGTTACACTGGGAAATATTCTGAAAGACTGTGCAGTGTCTAAATAGCATTTCAGAATAACATTTGAGTGCCTATTTATCATAAATGGATTTTACACTTTGAAATAGTAGGTTATTTTGCCTGTTTTAAGACAGGAAAATAAAGACCAGAAAAAATGCTCGTGCAGGTTACACTGTACACCTGTCGCAGGGAGTGACCGGGCACAGCCTGAACTGCACACTCACATAAAATGGTTGCACATGCTGCACTGGCTTCCAGATCTGTACTGATTCACGGTATTTGTGTTCAGTGACAAACCACTCAAGTCCTCCTCAGCCTTTAAGTGTGAGAGTGCACTTAGCCAGCCATAAACTCAGGGAGTATCTCTGTGATTAAATGTTCAAATCTTGTAATATTTACTGACTGGTTTTATTGATGCCATTAATATTTTTGCTTGATAAAGAAGACGGTACATATTATTATTGCTACATTCATTTGGGAACATAAAAACAATGATTAAGCAGCTGTCCTGATCATCAGAGATAATGGAACATTATACCAGAATAGGTATAGGATTGTTCTTTTGCAGCAACTCCTTTTAAAAGAGCAACCACTGAGCCCTTTGGAGAAGAAAAAAATAACTATGCCTAGTGAAATGTGTATTTATTGAGTCCTATCTATTCAGTTCCACCCACCTAACCCTCCCTAGAACAATTCTGCATTGAAGACAAAGTTATGAGTGCAGTTTCTGTTGATTTAGCCTAAAACTACCAAGACTGGGAAGTACACCCTGGTGTACTGGGATACTACCACGCACTGTAGAAAAGGCAACGCAGAGCTGCCCTCAGGCCTTCAGTATTTGCCGAGGCTCCCAAGCAGATGTACTTGCCATGCTGAACCCTGTGCTGCCAAGGCTACGCTCCCAACAGAGCTAATGTACAGCCAAGCCGTGGATGCCAATACGAACAGCTGTCGTATGGACTGAGGCAAGTGACCCCAGGGTAGTCGCACCGCTAGCACTACAGACCTAATGTGGCTATCCTTTGGGGAAATAAGATAGGCCATAGTGGCAGATGTAAGTCCTTGATGGAATTGGTAATTATGTTCCAATTAGGGGATAGATAATTAATTGTGGTGATTCATAGAATAACAGACCACGACCTGCAGATTTCACACTGAGCTTGCCAAGGAAACAAGCCCTTCGAAATTAAACACATGCAAGCAATGTGAAGCAGCAAACACTATCAGCATTGAGCAGTTATTCTAAAAAGTCATTCTGCAGCACACTGGAAATTTCAAACACCTATGGTTTTGATTTTGTCTGTTTCATTTCTACACCTAGAGAACATCAGTTCTTAAAATACGTTTTTCAATGTGCTGTATATAACAAATCAGATATTTTCATAAATAGAACCTTATTATATTTTTTTAAGTTAATACATTAGTAATAATACAGTGATGTATAGTGAAGATTGAATATTGCTGTGGCAAGAAAAGCAACTTAAAGGTAAATCATTTCAGAAATATAATGTGAAAAAAGGTCATCAGATCATTACCGCGTCCTTCTTTCTCAGTTGCATGCAATATGTTTTCAATTGGGTCAGATGGCACAGAAGTATTATTTGACTCATTTCAGGATGTTTTAGATTTGAAATTGGGAAAGTTAGTCGATCCTTTCTTTAAATCTGAACATCTTAATATACAAAATGTGTTCTTAAAAGGTTATTTACACATTGTCTGAGTTACAGTCTCAGCATCTACCAGCCGCCTACCAAAGTAACATCTAGAAACTGAAACTAAATGGTCTTCTTTGCTGGACAAAGCTCTGATACCTCATATTCGTCCATTAACTCTGCCTCAAATTGCTCTTTCTTCCCCTGCTAAGGTCGATTTCTGATCTTATATCTGACAATTTTGTTTAGGAAATGGATTATAATAGTAAGCGTATTGCATGTTAGTGTTTCAGTAACTGCAACGCAGAAGACAAAAGGAAACATACTGCTTCTCTGATCGAAGCCATGCTGGCATTTCATTTTACATTTGTTTTTTAAACGGCAATTCTATATAAGGCAGTTTCTGAAGTGCTCCTTTGCTGTCTGCCTCAAAAGTAAAATGGAACTTCTATTGTGCAAATATTGATTTTTTAAAAATCTTCAGTTCTTTCATATTGTACATTCTGACTGTAAAACACAACCATTTTTTGAACAATTTTGCGCTATTCTTCCTTCATTTTTTTGTGTGGCTAAAGTTGCCCCAAGGCATTACATCTTCATATATTTCATATACTTCCTTGCCTTCTTCATCCAAATTTCACTTTCTTTTTTCCTAAATGTCACCATCTGTATGATAAGATTGGCTATTAGACTGAAAAGGTCATTATTAACCAAGTGCCATCCACCCATTAAACTCAAAACACCGCTACCTTTCCCAGCCCTCTCCACTGCTGTCCCTGCATAGTGTGCTGCAGGAGCCTGCCCCACCTGAATGCAGCGTGCTGGGGAACTGCAGCCCCTGTGCCTGGATCCTGGCTGTACCATGGCTACAGATTCAGATCAACAGATCCAGCAACTACCCTGCATGCTCCAGTTTCCCTCAGAAGAAAACACAGGCACAAGGACAGTAAATGAGCCTCATGTGCACTGATAGCTCCCCGGGTGTGGACAATCAGGAGGTCTGGGTTGTGCATCCGCCTACTTCACAGGTTAATTAAATACTGAGTTTTGTTTTTTTTTTTTCTATTTTTTAAATAACAGCCACAGCAGTAGGAAAATCATCTCCTGACTTTCCTTATGCTGGAAATATATGTCTTTTCTTGGAATAAGGTTAAATTTTCATTTCGAACACAATCAATACTCATAATACAGGCAGCATTCTGGAGTTTATGACCCATAAAGCAGTAAGAGTACCCAGCCTCTTCTAGCTGTTTCAACAATAGGAAGTCTGCTGCAAGCAGAGAGGTTCATTAAAAATCGCTTTTTGATTTTTAATAGTAAGATGATTTTGTCCTATTTTGCTGCGTTGAAGAATGGGATAAATTTCATTATTACAGCTTCTATCACATAAGTTTATAGTTGCTAAAAGCCCTTTTCTCTGCATTAGTAAAATAATCAGCTGAAGACCCTAACAAAGTGGCAGTGAGGTGTTAGTGGCAACAACTTATAATTGCAATAGGTTACTTTCCTGTATTAATGAAATCAAGATTATTAAAGCTGAAAAACAAATACCTGCTCTATTCTCTAATACAACAACCTCTGTAAATGTTTTGACCTCTTTGTGAACTACCACTATTTGACTGACAGGCCACATAGAGCTACAACTGCTCTGATACTTATTTCTTGAAACTCTTCAGAACGTCTAACTCAAAGGGAGTTTTAAAGTGTTTCATATTGCTTTAATCTATTGTTACCAGTCTTCCATCTTGGACTATGCAGCCATGTAGTTGTCCAGGCAATTGAAATTTTCAGTGATTTCCAATCGTCTTTCTATTTTATTATCTCTTTTTTTTCCCCTTTTTTTATAGTCTACTCATTAGTTTTAATTTGCTAGCATTTACACAGGAGCATGCAAATCTGGTCAATGTTTTTACTGATCAAAATGTTGGGAAGATGTTTTAGACAATTGTCCATTGTCCTACTACAAGAAGATTAAAGAACCATTCTGGACGGTTTCAATAGTTCTTTGCCTTGCT